TTTCTTCTCAGAGGCTATGTTTTCTGTATTTCCAGGATTGTATTCCTTGATTAACTCCTACTACAAATTATAATCCCCATCCCATTTTTAAGCAATGTCTTTCAGTATATCAAAGTTATATACTAATTGGGTGCTTATATCATCCTAATATATCTGCTTTCTGTCCTATGCCATTCAAATAATGTGCAGGCTGTGAGAATCATTTAAAAAGAAAACCTTTTGGTCCCTCTAATTTTAGTGTATCTGCACTGTATGTTCTCTGATTTTTAAGTCAAGTGCTTTGAAATCAGTAGCTGAAATGTTCCATATAACAATCAAGTATTTATTATTATCTCTATTCACTCCTACCACAAAATAGAATCCCTTTCCCCTTTTTGAGCAATTTCTTTCAAGATTTCAAAGTTATATTGTTGCTTATATTTCCCAATATGTGTTTTTCCCTCTGTTTTAAACAATTCATTCAATTTTAAGATGGAAGAATTATTTAGAAAGAAACCTAATAAAACCCTCTTTGATCCCTCTAGTATCAGTGAACATAGACTGTCCATCCTTTGATTATATATAGAACATTTCACACCCTTTCATACTTACACTAGAACAAGAAATATTATATAGAAGGAATGAAAATTTATATCCCATCTATGGACAAATTGTGCCTTTGAATTACAGCTTCCAATCTGGTGTGAAAGCAAGTAGGTTTGAGTTGTCTTGAGATCTGTCTATAACTAGAACCTTCCAGTTCTGGTCTCACAGCAAGCTAAATAAGTTTGTTTACTGCCTCTGCCCTTATCTTTGGCAGTAAGGATGCAATAGGAACGCAAGATGTTTGTCAGCTCATGATGGTCTCTGAAAGTAATTTGCAAGATGCCAAGATGTCATCCAGTCCCATGGCTCAGATTTCACTTATCTCAGCCACTATGAAAGTTTTGGATACAGATCAGATAACTTTAATCATGAACCTTGCTCCTTACCGTGTCAACAAGTCTCACTTACATAACTGCGTAGAAGAGGCTCTTTCCTCGTTAAGAGAACTGTCCCCTCCCACATTCCTTAGCCTGCACCCAAATATCCCTCAGATTTGTACACAAAGAATAACAGCAAGTGGATCTTCTCACAGCTGCCCAGAAACATTTATAAGAAATACTAGATTCTACATGCAGATCAGAGGTAAGGGAAGGGAAAGAAAATACATAAATCTGTATATTCAGCACCATGTGCAAGATAATCAAGTCAGCATCACTTAGTAGGGAAGGAGTTAATTAGTACACTTTCTTCATTGATATATGTAGTGGGTGGTTGTTGGCTCGAAATACATTTAATTCGCTTTAGAATTGCCTCTGCAACTCTGTTGATTCATAAATCAGTTGGAAACGAACCTTTTCTTTCTTCATGTGTAACTGAGTACTTTAATTGGAAACTTAAATGTAACTGGGACTTACATGTCATGTCTGCCTTTATGCTTCCTTTCTTCAGGTCAGCATGCCTGGAATGTATTTCAATCCAGACAGCTTTGATGTTTCTTTAATAGATACATCTCTACCACAATTGTAGGTTTAGGGGGTACATACACATGTATTAACTTTCTGACAGTTAAGCCAACTTAACTTTTTAAAGTCAACTTAACTGGCAGAGCGTACAAACGTATGTGGAGCAGAGTTAACTTAAATCTGGTGTATTATCCTCCAAGGTGTATTATCTTGAGTCACATTAGTTTAATTGACTTAGCTCGCAAGATGACTGCCACCATGTCAAGGAACTGTACAAGTGTATGCTCTTATGTTGCTTGACTTAAGTTGACTTAGTTAAGTCTCCTTATTTTAAGTTGAATTAGTATGAGTGTATTGCATGTGTTCAGGTTGGTGCAGAAACATGGGCATGTGGATCCAATTCAAAGGGGGAACAATTTAAAAGGGCAACAGAGGTTGCGTTCTAATCATTGTGTGAACAAGCTGGAAATGATACAAATGTAGCAAAACTGCTCTAATTTTAACACTGGATAAAGCAGTGATATTACCTTGGTAGATGGCATTGGGGCAGGGTTCAATTTTTAGATCAATGCTTGAAAAACTGTAATGAAAGACTTCCATAAAAGAGCCATAAGATTGATCTGAGGTGTCTTAAGCATGCCTTCCTGTGGTAGACCAAGAAGCCCCAATCTGATTCATAGATTCATAGATGTACGGTTGGAAGGGACCTTGTAGATCTTCTAGTCCAACCCCCTGCCAGGGGCAGGAGAGAAAACTGGGCTCAAATGACCCCAGCCAGGTAAACATCGAGCCTCCTCTTAAAGACCCCCAGGGTAGGAGCCAGCACCACTTCCCTTGGAAGTTGGTTCCAGATTCTAGCTGCCCTGACTGTGCAGAGTTTATCAAAGAGAATCTTAAGAGGTGGCTTGATTACAGTCTCTAATTATCTATACAAGAAAAAGATAGAGGCCCCTTTCATCCAACAGACAAAGATGTAAGGGTTTCCCATGACTAGAAGATGAAGCTACACTAAAGTGGGAATAAGGTACAAATGTTTAATAGTGAGGATAAATAACCAATGGAACAACTTCTCAAGCCTTAAGGTGCCTTCTTCTTTAGAAATCTTTAATCAAGACCAGATGTCCTTCTAACACATAAGTTATAGTTCCGCCACAAGGTAGGGAGCATAATAAATAATTTTCTGGTGAAATTCTCTGCTTTGTGTTGTGATGGAGATCAGACTATGGATTAGAACCAACAAAGGACTTCCTGGTGTCTCAGGTGGACTTCTGATGTGCAGTTTATCCAATGCCTATAACTTGTCACTTACAGAAATAGTCCCTGGAGCCAGAACTGAAACTCAGCACTCCCTCTTCTAAGCTGAGTGCTCTAACCACTAGCTAAGTATGGCTGGCAGTAGTAAGTCTAAATACTACTAGACAATAGAATAAAACTCAATCTTGCTACCTCTTTCTCTCTGAGCCAATTAAATTCTACTCTTTGCTTCACACAGGCACATTTTCAACAGGAGATGTGAGTGGTTCCCACCCATATCCTCTCAGGATGTTTTTAAGGTTGTTTTCAGAACACCTACCAGATTAGTCCTCTCATAGGACTTCTGCAGAGGAGCATCTGGCTTCTGAATGCCAAACTAGCTTTGACAAGAGATATGTGCTAAGCTGTTCAGACTGGGGAAGTTCTGGATATGTGCAGAAGCAGAAGAGTAGGTGCCTCTGGAACTTTTGAAATTACATGGGGAAGGCACCTTTATAATTTTCAGACAGGGGCTAGGGACAGACATTACACACAAACTGGTTTAAGTGATCAGAAACTGGTTTAAACCTGTATAACAGAACAGATGTTCAGTTCACATAAACCAGCTTGAAAATGTCTGAAACTGGTTTGACATAAACCTGGTTGAATGTAGTATCAGATGCTGTGTATAGACAAAACAGGAGCCCTAAATTGAAGTGCTGGGTTTAAAAAAAACACCGCTTCAATTTAGAGCTGATTAAACCCCCATGTTGTATACATACCCCACTAACTTACCTGCATCTTCAGTGGGGAGGGGAGGGTGAGCTGCTAGTGAGCAGAGCAGTCCCTGGGCTGCAGGGAGGCTGATGCTTCCCTCCATGGGAGTGGCAGCCCCCCACCAGATGGCACCCACCCACAGGCACCCGACTCAGGCAGTTCTCGAAGGAGTTTTAGTTTGCTGTGCCCCAAGTCACTTAAGGCACATTACACCACCAAATTTCCTAGAGCAGCTGAAATTACTGCACAATACGCCACCGAAGTATGCAAACACCAACATCATTGAAGTCATGCAAAAGCATTTAACCCACTTTAAAGTGTTATGCACACACGCCTCTTGTTTCATCTACACACAGCCAGACTTAACTGATTTGGCTCAAACCAGTTTATGCAATGTCTGTCCCAGACCCCTTGCTGGTTTAAATGAAATCAGACTTCCCCAGCATCCCAGCATACTCTCTGGGCTGGGCTGGGCAGGGCTCCCTGCTCCACAGTGGGGCTGGACCCCCACTCTGCTCCCTGGCTGCAGCTCCAGCAGTCTCTGCAGGCATCTGCCTGGATTCTGCTCCCCATTCCCCTCCCCACTCTCTGCTAAGCAGGCATTCCCCTGTCCCTCACAGACATCTCTCAGCATTAGCTAGCAGACCACATGCTGGCTATCTTCGATTGTGGTACATGGGACAAAGGCAGACTCAACAGGTAGCTGGTAATGTCTCTCTGTTGTTTTCTTAATGGGCTGATAAACACTAAGTTAAGGGTGATAAACATTCCCTACTGGGCTGCTCAGGAGTGGAGAGAATCCCTCCCTAATCATAGCATCCTGCTGGGGTCTGGCCACATGCTCCCCCACCCCCAGCTCAGATCGGTGGAAGGGAAGGGAGGGGTGCTCTAGCACACCCCCCCCCCCCCCCCCCCCAGCTTCTAGTTTTTCAGTCCAGAGAAGATGTCTGTGTGGTTACAAACTGGTTCAGCCTAGCCAGGTTAGACTAACCTGCAAAGATTGAATCAATTCAGGCTCAGGCTTTTTGACTGTCTGTCCCTAACCACTGTGGTTTGGATTGCAGTGCTGGATTTAAGCTTGTTCATTTCACTTAAATCAGTCATTCCCAAATGAGAGGGTGTTATACTAAGTGGGACTGAAGCAGTTATGAGTAGGACTCACAGAATCCTAAGGCCTAAAAGCTTCATGAGGTATTAATATTCCAATAAGAAAAGAAATTGGTGTTAGAAATGTGGCAGCTTACCATGGCTGTTAATGCTGTGTAAGGGAAGACATTAGACAGAAGTAAGAATACCTTTGTCCATAGCGTTGTCCTCACTGTTCATATTTATAATACTAATTCCTGAGGCATTCTTAGGAAGTTGGAAAAAGACTGATCCCGTATGACTGTGTTCACTGATATGATTCAACCCAATCCTCCCCTAATACAGGAGACAATGGTAAAGAGAGTGGGGAATGTTGAAGCTGGTGTCAGTGGACTGGCCTCCATTAAGTGCTGTCTGGAGGAAGGGCTTGAGCCCACCTGTTTTAAGAAAAGTGATGATCTTGGGGGACTCTGGATGTTCACGGTAAGTGGGGTTTCATCCCCTGAGGCTATAAACTATATAAATAAGAAAATACCCAATGATGTGCCCCTGTGAAATAATCAGAAGGGATTATTCCTCAGATGAGACCAAAAGATAATCAAATCTATTGAGAAACTGAATAAGGATGTGTTTATATTGCCATTAGAGGTGTGATCACAGCAGACATAGGTCTACCCAAGCAGCTCTATTGCTGCCCAGCGCAGAGACCAAGTGAAGTGAAGCTGCAGCTGCAAGGGTTTCCGCATGAGCTAAACAAGTTCAAACAGGGAGCATGTTCCTTGTGCCAGGGGCCAGCCTGCCCTGAAATGCATACTACTACTGTTGTACTGCTTCTCCTGGCCTATCTGAGGCTACAGATAACTTGGGGATGAACACATCTCTGATTGTGATATAAACTTTGCTAGTGCATTCTGAGTCGCTTTTCGGGGCCTTAGAGCCCTAGATAAGTCCCCACAGTGGATGGTCTCCACGCTGCTGTATAGAACCCAACCTTTGAAGTCTACATGCTCTCAAGCCTACCAGGTTCCAACACAGCTTCTAGTTCTGGCCACTCAGGTGCACTCCTCAAGTGCAGACTCCCAGGTGACACCCTCCACAGGATGGTGAGACATAATGATGCAGCTGCTTAGCATCAAGACCAGAGCTCACACCTCAGGTCTGTCTAGTTGCTGATGGCCAACTTTAGTCAGCTGCTCAGTGACCAACTTTACCTTTGGGAAGATGCAGTAGATAAAGCAATAAATGCTGGCTTTGGAAAGGGACTTCTTAGTCCCAGTCCTTTTTTCCACTTGGAGAAAACAAGAGAATTATAGATTCATTGAAAGTAACAAGGCCCTGAACACAACCGCCACCCTTGGCAACCTGAAATATGCTTTACTAGCAACCAATGTGTAACCCATGCTGGCACATTAAGGCCAGGTGATGGACTGGATTTTGGATCCTTGGGGTGCCAGTAGCCCTGGGAGCCCCTCAGCCAGACTACTGACTGAGGGGTTCCATGGAAAGGTGTATCCCTCACCCTGCACAGGAATTAGCTATGAACCCAATGAACAAGTTATTCTTCATTATACACAACCAAGTTATATACAGAAAAAATAAATAAACAAAAAATATAATAACAATAGTTAATAATAAAACTAACAATTTAGATTAAATTTACAACTACAACATTAGGTAGATAATTCCAGCACGCTAGGTGGTCCCACTTGCATTAAACAACCTCAATAATTAAATTCACCTTGCTATAACTCTTTACAACTATTTTCCCCCCATAACTCAATTGATTTCCTTCTGTTCACAATCCACTTCCCATAACAATAAATGGCAATACAGCTATAACTATGATCTGCCACTAAATGGAAGAAGTGAGGCTTCTGCTGCTCTGGGGAAAATGGTCTCCTTCCTGGTAACACAGCAAAAGAGGCTCTGAATAGTGGCTGTAGGCAATAGTATCCCTTTTGTTTCTTTCTGGAAATACACTTCCTGCAAACACTAGTGATTAGGTGTCCCCTCACATGCCCATGCTGGTTTGTTTCTCACAACCCACTCCCTCTTGGGGTTGTCTCCCCCTCCCAGCACATCCACCCAGACAGCGGTTTTCCTCTGCAGGTCTCTGGCTCTGCTGCTTGAGTCTTGCCAGCTCAGACAGGAGTTTCCTTCTGCAGGTCTCTGACTGCTGCTTCTCCCAGCTCCAGCAAGCCTACCAGCTTGTTTAA